CCCCTACTCATCAAGGGGGCAGACACACGCTGCTCATCAACAGATAAGACACCCCCTACTCATCAAGGGGGAAGACACACGCTGCTCATCTACAGATTAGACACCCCTTACTCATCAAGGGGGCAGACACACGCTGCTCATCAACAGATCAGACACCCCCTACTCATAAAAGGGGCAGACGCACGCTGCTCATCAACAGATCAGACACCCCCTACTCATCAAGGGGGCAGACACACGCTGCTCATCAAAAGATCAGACACCCCCTACTCATCAAGGGGGCAGACACACGCTGCTCATCAACGAATCAGACAACGTCCACTCATAGAGGGGGCGGACGCACGCTGCTCATTGGAGAATCAGACATCAGATGCTCATTAGAAAACCAGACGTTCGTTGCTCATAGGTAGAGACACACTGTGTCCTTTGGCCAACCAATACTCGCAGATCATTGCTGAGTCAATTTCATATCGCTCGTTGTGGAACCGGGCTCTTGTTGATAATTGATCGGGCGAGTGGATTTGAATGGTGAGTGTGGTGTGGACTCTCGATAATCGCTAAGTGTATAAGCTACAGTCTATTCAGTCAACTAATATTTTATACAAACCCACTGTTTAGAATCGGGAGCAATGCTATGACACATCAATTACAGCGTGAAGGAGCAGCGGTCACCAATCAGACTGTATTTAATTTTATTTTTTTTATTTTTTATTTTTTAATTCGATGTATTTTTGATATTGACGAGTGAGTTCAAATGCAGGCTCTAAAGTGGGGGCATGACAGGCAATGCAATCCCCTAGTCCCTGCCGATCGCTGAGGACCTCGGAAGCGGGCGCAGCGAGTGACAGGCGGTTTTGCCCATGACTTCAGTGAACAGCAGGTGACCCCTCCCCAAGTTTCCTCACACCGCGACACCCGCTGAGAGAGACTGGTCCTCACTTGACTTGATTCACACAAAGAGGAGGAACAACCTCTCAAGCGAGAGTGTGGCGAAGTTGGTCTACATAGATTGGAATATGCAGCTCAAATCGGTGCGTCAGGGTGTGAAGTGCGGATTCTTGGACATGTGGAGCACATTCTTCGACGATCCGGAGGATCCCAACCCCCAAGACCCAGCAGTCTTGACGGGGCCATTGGACGACACAGCGGAGGAGGCGGCATGCCTTGCGAGACTGTGTCGTCCCCCGTATGTCGTACAGGGGGTACCCGTATGGACCGTACGGACGGACGGATGTACGCCCGTATGGGCGTAC